TTAGTAATTCCTTTTGTGCATAATTTTATATTATTGTTAATAATAAATTAATTAAAGCAACAAAACAACCTGAAGAGCCAGTTCGGAGCCGAGAGACCCGGCTCGTTTTAGTGAGCCGAACCGAAAGAGCCGGATCTCTAAAAAGAGCCGGAAATCCCATCACTAGCCGTAATGCTCTGACAATCCATCAAGCAGTGCGGCTTACCAAAGTTGTACTAAAACATTTTTTAACAGATTTCTGCACGCCCAAATCACTCTCGATTTTTGAGAAAATTAAAGGATTTTAAGTCCTTATAGTGTGGAAAATACGTTATACAGAAGAAAATAATATATCGTGATATATATCGTTACCGCACATGCTTGAAATTATATCGCGATATGAATTTTAGGCCATATTGCCCAGCCCTATCCTGACTGTACTCAAGTTCCTGTTTAGAGGCCTATACTTTTTTACTTTTACTTGAGTAAAAAAGTTGAATAAGTACCTGAACTTTTACTGGAGTATTTTTAACAGTAGTATTCGTACTTTTATTCAAGTACAGAATGTCTGCACTTTTGCCAGCTCTGGATGTGAATACTAAAGAACAGTGTTTGCTCCTCACTGAGAACTTTGCTGCTGAAGCCACAGAAGTAAAAAAACACACATTCACTGGACTTTGTGAGCCTGCAGATATCGACTGAATAAATAGCAGGAGGCAAACTGTGGTGCACTCAGGTCAGGAATATTGTGCAACTGTGTCGTTAGGGTGAGCGCTCATCCTCAAGTCAAAAGACTGCTCCTATTCAAAGGTGATGGACATTAAATGAGCCTATTAAAAAGAGACAATGTTTACTTGAGCTACATAAATAACATTAATATATTAAGTTCTTTGTCATGAGGCATCTTCTCTAAATGACTTTGATGAAATGCCTCCACATTTGAAATACTTAAATCAGCCTTGTTAAGAGTTGCATCACTCAGCTAGCATGTATTTGTCAGATTAGCATTTCTTATTGTTTGCAGTGTCAGAAACACTCAAAGAGAAAGAGATTAAAAAGCTTCCAGAAGGGATTTGATGGTTATTTTACCAACCAGCCATCAAAACTCATCTGTTACAGCACTACACACATTGATGGCTCTCCAGTGCATAATGGAACCTTATTATAGTTGTTCTTTATCGCTTTGGCACAGTCCTTGTAATGTTTCTTCATCTTCAACAAAACAGCTCACGCATGAAGACAAAATTAGAGATAATCTGAAAAAAGATGGAACTCACCTCAAACTTTTCATTTATGCATAATGTGTAAAGTGTGTGTGTGCTGATGAAAGAATGCGTCTCTGAGGATAACTGACTGCTGTTCTGCATACATCACAATCACACTTTTACAGTCTCTGCAGAGAAAAGGGTGCATTTACCTTTACGTGTATTGTGAGGGGAAAATATTTTTCCTCCAGTGGTCACACAACACTGTAAACAGCAGGTACAGTAACCGGAAAGTGAACGTATACACAGCACTGTACAAATCTGTAGCTCAACACCATCAAAAGCCCATGTGCAGCAATATGCAACAGTACATCACCGTAAGACAACAGAACTTAGAGGACATCCTGTAGCTCCCTTTGGAGCTGCTTTTACTCAGTTTACTGAGCACATCCACCTTCTGTATACTCTGCTGTCTTCTTCCTGCACCTCTCCGCATATTCTTACTCCCCATCCTTTTAACAATCCTAACAATAACTTGATAACTGCACAGCTTACAATTACACGGCTGGTGGCCAGGCTAGCTAGCTAGGTAGCAGGAGGAGCTCTGAACAGACTCAAGAACAGTAACGACGGACAGAGGATGAAAAATAAAGAGCAGAGATCCACCAATATTTTGCTTCTTTTCTGGTTGCTGCTTCGATGCTGGACTTTTATACCAGCTCAGACAGCTCCTACCCTCACCATTACCAGGTGAGATCAAGATTAGCTGTTACTCAGGGCTAACAGGTGGTTTTAGCATCAACACAATCACCTGCGCCACCAAGTTTGCAAGAATAAGTGAAAAAGGAGTCTATTCTAAGTGTTTCTGTGGAAAGATTAATGCTAATGAGCCATATGTCTCCTTTAAAAGTGGCAACAAAAATAGAAGATTGACTTCAAATAAATTACGCTGTATAATCCTGACAGAAGACAGAGTCATTTTAAACCAACACACAAAAGCATTTCACTAAGAGCAAGCCATGAGGAGTGCTCCACGTTTTAGGGAAGAAAAATATTTAATCTGTTCTTACCAAAGACACGTTCATCATTGATGTTCTTTATGCAGAACCAGAGGCCTGCTGGGAAGGTGCAGACGAGGATGTGAAGATCAAAGAAGAAGGACACCCAGGTGGTGGGCTGGTGCTCTGATACCGAAGCGATGATTGGAATGTGGATCTTAGCATAGCTGTGAAGAGCACAGGAAATAAAACAGTTAATAAAAGGAAGTGGAAAAAAGGGGGTCTCTATAAACTCTATATGAACTGTTGTCAATCAGAACAGTTAACATCCACCCGACTCACTCTAAAATAAAGCAACTGTGTTGATGGTGAACATGTGAGAGCTCATGCAGACAACAGAGAATCAGGTTTGACTGATGTCAGTTATCTTGGGTCCGAGCGCGACCCAATTAGTTTTACTGCACTGCAGCAGAAAACTTAACACCCTTCCAAAAAATTAAAAAAAAATACTGAGGCATGTACGTACAAACGCACATATACGCACACCCATGTGCACATTCACTCAGTGAGAGTTTTGCAGTTTACAGCTGATGCTGCAGTCTGGCAGTTCTCTGTAAGCCCAGATCTTAGAGCAGAGAAGGGGAGCATTATCTGGTTGCCATTTTATGATGGGGCAGGATGACGTGCTGACTTGATTCGCCAATGGCAAAAAAAAAAAAAAAACAATTCTGGGAGCAAGAATGAGGGGAGAGGCAAGGCTACAGCATTTGCTGTAATGCATTTAATTTGGCTTAAAGGTGAGGATGCTACTTGAAAAGTGCAGTGATTTCTACAACTGAATGAGAACTTTTGTCTCTCTGCATGGGAGAGGAAAAAAAACAAACAAAAACACACAAAAACACACATGCTGTGAGATGGAGTAAAGCTGAATAAATGAGATTTTCATGGTAAATCAGTGTGGAATAAATCTGCTGTGAAACTGACTGACTGAACGTACCTGCATCCCCAGCATGAGTAACTGTGCTACTGCAGAGTTTCAGTGACTTACCCGGTATCCCAGAGTGAGTAGAAACGCCCACTCCATGGAGCAATGTAACCTGAGAAAGAAACACACAACATCCATATTCACAAGTGCACCAAAACAAACAGGCCAGCATCCACACACGGCTGTGGACGGTCAGTGATCTGTGTATTCTGTCACACACCGGTGGAACAATTAATTGGTTCGCTACGCTCCTCCTGCATGTATCGATCATGAAATTACTCTCTGATGTGGGCGGTGCGATGATAAATGAGAGCAGGGAAACTAATCACCGCCGTTAGAGAGCCAGCAGGTGGTCCTTCTCTATGCAGATAATAGATCGGTGCTTCTATTGTCTCACTGATTCCAGTCAGAGAGCGACATTGTTTTACACGAAGCATCTCAATGACCTTAGATGAGGGCTGTAATTACCTGGCCTGCACTCAGGATCCAAAGAAGACCTAATGGCACTAAAGGTTCAGGTGATTTCGAGTACAAAGTAATAAAGCACATTTGTCAAAGACTTGCATAACTCACAGGTCAAATCAATCCTTATCTATTGTACATTCATCCCATTTTTTTAAACCCTGGCTTCTGATTGGCTGTCATCTGCAAGAAGGTTTGAACAGCAAGTTGGTGGGTCTCTGCACATCCATCAAACTTACAGTATGTGTAACATAACAGGACGTGCGTAAGCCCACTATAAAGAAACTGCACAGTGCCTTTGATTACATAAGACCCCAGAATAAATACTTATAATTTATGACTAAATTATAAATTATATTTCTGTGACATTTTAATAAGGAAAGTTGCTGCTCCCTCTGTAGCGGGGGTCACTACAGAGGGCAGCGCCGCATGTGTGATTTGACAGATTTTTAAACCAGATGCCGCTCCTGAAACTTTCACTTGTTAGGCGAACGTGTAAACCACTACACTACAGAGTCATGTCCACATCTTTTAAATATTTCATCTAAGGATCCTACGATCTTTTCTGGGATCACAATTCATGCAAAAGTAAAGTATCATCTGTTTTCTTTTTTGTTAAGCAGACAAACATGATGCTGGCTTTGGCAGATGTTACATTTGAAGAACATGTATTTGTCTTGTTTAGGCTCCCGAAGGATTTAAGATCTGTACTGTTCAAACTCTAAGGTCAAAGTCCTTTGAAAAACTGAGGCATACATTTAAATTTTCTTTAAAAAAAAAAAGTTATACACAGATGTTCACTCACTAGACTGACAGAGAAATAACATCCAAAGTTTATAAAGCTAAATGTGTGGAACTAAGATTTGGAAAACGACATCTCTGCAGAGGATTGGAAACCATCTGACGTGGTGAAGCCATGTGAAGCAACTAAAAGTACCTTCAGGGGAACTGCATAAAGCCAAGTCAATCACACTACAATGCAGTTTTTGGTCCATTACATCTTTCTTAGTGAATCGGAATCCATCCTAGCGGTCAGCTTCTCCTTTCAACAAGATTACAATGCTCTGAGAGGACTGTTAGACGCACTGATTTCAACTGTGTGATCATTTGAGGTTGTTTTTAATGGTTCTTCTGAACAGACAAGCGTTCCAACTTTTTTGTCCATCCCATTCACACCAGCTGAGATCCATGAAGTAAGAGAGCCACTTCCCCGTGCAATGCCACGCGCTTCAACAGCACTCTGCGGCACAGAGGAGAGTGACAGCCTAATGATATAGTGAGAGATTTTTTAGCCCTGATGTGTCAGAACAGAGTGATTTAGAAAAGCTCACCTGTGCAGCGCAGTGCATTTTACAGCTGAATGACCTGCCTATTCACTTTCATTCTAGTGCTGATTACAATTCATGCGTAGAAAGCAGAACTATTATCTCTGACAGAGTAAAGGCTCCATCATGAAAATTGCCATCACAATCACGTTTGCTCAGTCGTTCTTGTGTCGTTTCTCTCACAGCATTATTTTTCCCTAATAGCGATGGACTGTGTAACAGGACATTACTTCCTTATACCGCTCACGAAAAAT